ATTAAACACTCAAAAAATCACTTCCAAAAAAAAAAAAAAAAAAGACAATCCATGTTGTGTCTCCAATGGCAGGAGCAACTGCACCTACAGCAACGTTAATCAATCTCACGCGCCCTTCACACTCCAAACTTCACCACTTCTCTGCACACAATGTTCCCTTCCATAACCAACCCTTTTCTTCCGTTTTCTACCTCCGTCTAAAGCCCACAATCACCAATTGCCATGGCAAGGTATATTCTATATACATATACATACATATATGATATGTTTTATGTGAATAGTGACTCAATTATATTTATTACTCTGTTTTGGGTTGTGAAGCTGAATAGCTCGGGTGGGGGAGAGGCATATGTGATGGATGAAGCGGGTTTTGATGAGTATGATGGAATTGATGACGAAAGTGATGAGGATGATGCAGAGAGTAGCGTGGATTTGTTGATCAGATTCTTGCAGAGCATGTTTAAGAAAGTGTCTAAGCGAGCCAAGAAGGCCTCTCGCTCTGTCTTGCCCACAGTAATATCGCCCCAGCTAGTGAGTTTCCCTCTTTGGAATCATCAATGGAGCTACCAAATTCTGGTTCATATTAGTGGATTAGAAATCAGGAATAGTTAATTGTGTATGCTCCCAAACCCAATTTATGCATATAACTTATTGTTGAAAATTGCTTCAAGTGGTAGCTCACAAGTTCCCCCAGTACCTAATGAATTTTTGCAATGCTCCAGGACAAAACTTGCATAGAATTAGCTACTTAGAGCATCGACAACACTAGTATCTTAAGGGTATCTTATTCTTATGCTTAAGCAGCCATGTCTTAGTTTTTATTTTTCTCATCGGAGTTGGTTTACATGGCAAAAAAGGTATCTTAAATTTAACTTTTGTATCTTACATAAGATACATTAGCTTATGAATAAAAAAAGAGTCATTTTTACTATGTCAAACCATGAAAAAGAAGGGGAAAAAAGGTTAATCATATAAAATAAAGATTTAGTAAGAATTGTTTAAAATTTTACCATCGGAATAGAAATGTAGTTAATTCCTTATGCGTTGTTTAAATCTGACGTGACAATGAGACCCAACAAAATAAAATAAGATACATCATTAATCAACTTGCATTGTGGATGCCCTAAAGTTCTTTGACTACTGTTCTTTAATTAGAATTTCATCTAAGTAGCATTTGTTGATCTTTAATGAGAAAACCTTTATTACACAATTACCATTGTCAAACTTCAATTCTCATTGGAGAATAATACTAAAATTACATAAGGAACTAGATCTAGGTTTTGTCTTTTAGTAATTTAAACTTGTCTTATACTACAAGTCTTGATTTTCAAGATTGGGTGTATTTTTGAATTAGTTTATTTTGGGGTAAAAAGTGGTTTGTGATAAATAAACACAATTATTCCCTAAAATTTAAGCTAAGCCAAACATGCATTGAGCCTCATATCTTGGTTTTCTTTTGATGTCTAGACATTAGGATTAGGCAAGTTAGTATTTGGATGTTCAAAGAGCTGATGTACTGGAATTTATCTTTGACTGCTTTCTCTTATTTCTTTCAATGTGAATGTCAAATTTAGGTTTCTTTTGCTGTTGATGGGACTCTGCTACTTGCTTCACTTTCTGTTGTCAAAGCACTGCTTGAGGTATTGCTTCCCATTGCTGTATGGCTTAATCGGTAGTTTATGGCGTGTTGAAATTGAAACCTCAGTTTGTTTCACTTTGCCTTTCCAATTTTCTTCCACAGCATTTTCCCCGTCATTAACAATGCTTGAATTGAATCAATTTTTTCCTGAGGTGTAAATAGAGATGTAAGGGAAGGTCTGCAATATAGTGTTTGTGACTAGAAAAACAAAAGCATTCTGCTTATTTGTTACACAACTTACAACTCGTTTTTACTTTTTACAGAAATCTAGCATTGAAATGTTATTTACACACTCTTTAATGATGCACAATACACACATACGATTGCTCCTCTTATTTGCACCATCGAATTACCACAAACAAACAAATGATGGATGTGAGGACCTATAGGTGGAATAGGCTTTAGATTATTGTGTTTTTAGGTCTTGAATTTATAGAAAGGACAGCACTAAATATCTATTTTGAAGAGTTGATTGGAGAGACTCTTGGGATACAAATCAAGTCCCACGTCGTTAGGGAGATCTTTTGGTGATAACCAAAAGTAAAATCATAAGGACTTAAGCTCAAAATGAACAATATTTTATCATTGTGGAGTTGTGTATGCAAATAACTCCAAACTCACAAAATGCTGCTAAACCCATAACCCGTACATACATGCAATACAAAGGCAAATTTCGTTGAATTGGGAGATTAGATCCTTTGTTTGAGAGAAGAATTGTTAGGATACAAATCAAGTCCCACATTGTTAGAACAAGAAGAAAAACAAGAGTTTATAAAGCTCATATATACTTTATTGGTTGAGAAGCTTTTTAAGTGATGAAAAGTAAAACCGTGAGAATTTAACTCTAAAGTGGATAATATTTTACTAATATGGAGTTCTATGTGAAATAAATTGATAAAAATAACAAGATATAATCCTCCTCTTGATATAAATATATCCCCTCAAAGAAAAATACCATAACATAATCCTAACAAAGACATCAAATGCTAACTCAAACACACTTGAATTTGTGATCATATATTCTACACACAAGGCTGAACTATGGTTCTGGCATATTTCAGTATTTCCTTGGCAAAGTATTTTGTATATAACTAGAAAATACTTTATCAAGTAGGAGCTAATGGCCATAGGTAATATTTGACAATATGTGATATACATGCAACAATTCATAGAATAATATAACATTATTTTTTTTGTCTCTCTCCATATCATTTATTACATTTCAAATTTCCCTTTTCTCTTAGTTGTACAAATTGTTGTATAAATATGATTTTTCGTATTGGACTATGAATCATAGGTCATCTGCACTCTTGGAGGTACTGTATTTGCTGCAATTCTGGTCCTGCGTGTGATTTGGGCAGCAGTTTCTTACTTTCAGTCAAGTGGGAATAGCTTCAATCAAGGGGGGAATTCCTTTGGTGCTGTAGCCTAAATCTCTCTTCAACTTTTAGCAAAAGATGGCCTATGTAAGTTTTTTCAGTCCTATTGGTTTGAACTTATACTCTTGTAAAAATTAGTTAAGTTCCGTATCACTAGCCTATTGGCTTATTCAAGGTTAGTTTGCATATGAAGTAGAAATAGAATTTTCTTGGGGGCACATATTTTATTTGATTATGTTGATTATAAATGGTTTATGTATTTATTCAGATGAATTCAGGCATCCTTGGGTACGAATATTTGGAGATTGCCACACGGAGTAATTTGATTTAATTATGTTCTTGTCCCAAATCCCAATGATGCAATTGTAATTTCCCGGGTTTATTTATCCGGAAAGACTGTTTTATGGTGCTGAGATTCCATTTTCAAAAGGCTGTAATCCTATATTCACCCCTACAGCAATAATAAGTTTTAATTTAAAAAATGGTTAAAAAGATAAACCTAAATTTTGATAGCGTGTTTGGAGTTGTGTTTGCAATTCACTTGTAGATTTATTTTCACATCAAATTAAAGAGTGATGCTGAAGCTAAGCTACACAATCTTTGTGTAGCTTAACCATTGACGCAAAGAATCATATTGAAAACGGGTTACCAGACATGCTAGTAGTGTGTTTGTATATCTGTTGGTAGGAGCTAAAACAGTCATTCGAGCTCATCTACTGTGTGTGACACATTTTCTTTTGTAACTGAATGCAAACAATAAATCAAACACAAACTGAAAGTCCTGAGTAAAAACTGTTACTTTAAGCATTTACAGTAGTGAAGAGGTTCTAAATTCTTTTTATGGTTCCAATCATGTCATATTAGTTTTAAAATTTTAACAACTTCACTTTGTCGCTATAATTTTTGAAGAACTTAAAATAGGTGTCCGAACTTATCTCACATTTTTATATTTTTTAAAATGAGTTTCATAAGTTATTTCTTAATTATTTTTTAAAGGATAAGAACCACTTATTATATAATAAAGTTCTTACATACGACATCCAAGTCATGCTGCTCCAATATTAAGCCCAACTAACGATTAGACACCTTGTCATAGAGTTGTTATATCTCTGTTTCATTATTCGTGACATGTGCTTGCATGAAATCCGAAAATCACATGACTTTAAGGTCTGTCATTTTTGCTTTAGATCATTTTGCTCACCATTTCTAACATTTAAAGTAGATGTGACGTGTGATCATATATATCGGGAAAGTTGGATCTTTTATCGCTTGGATTTATCAATATATTTTTCTAAAATCTGCCTCTTCGTTAAGATTTTGCCCCGAGTGTTTTAATCTCTTCCTTTTGCCTAACAGTGTCTAGTTGACGTGTGAAAATCGTTGTGACACCTGCGCAATCTATTCCGCCACCAAATGGACCAAATCCATCTTATGGGCAAACTATAAAGGACCTTGTCAAATATACAAAACAGTTTTCAATTAAAACACAGTTAATATGACAATTGAAATTTTGCCATTAATTAATATGATATGGATTACAAGAAAACATAACTTTGGTGTAATTAGTTCAATAATTTTTTATCTCATTAAAATTTCACCTCATTTAATACCAAATTTTAAATGCTGACCTTTATTCTGCAGAATCACTAAGATTAGCATGTTTGATTCGATTCCACATTCATATATAATTTTCATATTTTCGATGTGATTCTGATAATATAATAGTTATAAGATTGTCTAACTTAACTCCATCATAAATGTTTGGTACAATTTTTTTAATTACACCAATCATTTACAACAGAGTTGTTTGACCCCAATTTTGCTTGAGATAATTTACTTAACCCCAATAGTTATAGCTTCCACGTTTAAACATGATTCCATACTTTGCAACGGATTTCCAAACACACTAAACAGTCCAATTTTTATAGGAAAAAAAAATTGTACTGCCTAAATTTTGTCTATAGTGAGCTGAAAGTTGCATCAGATAACCAATAGTTCCTCCATTCAATCCTAACTAGTACTTGACAGTCAATAAATAATAGATATCATTCGTAAACTATAAGCTATTAAGATCTTCGTATGCGCTCAAATGGACTAAACAAAAATGTTAACAAAACCACATGGGCTTAATTTATTCAACATAGCTTCACTGACAAACAACAATGTTTACACTATTACACAGTATGTAAGCATTTATGTATTTCAGGACAAACAGCATTCTTTTACAAGAATAATAATCATTCAAGGTTATGAAGAGTATCAGCATAGAAAGCCTATAGTCCACTAAACTACATATTGGGTAAATGAATTCATTTTCCAACATACTAACAAATGGAGTTGCTCAAGTACTAACTGAAGCGATCCTGTGGATACAAATAACAGCTCCAAGCCTCTTGTAGGAAACGGGAATGAGGTATCCATTGGACTTAATAACACCTTGAGTATATGATTTATGGGGCTCTGAAGGAGACTACTGATTCTATATGCATTTGTTATCAGGTGATGGGATTTCATAGACTACGTTGCTCTTTCAAAACCACCTCCCACCTGCATATGTAACCACTCTGGTGATGAACCTCGGCTATACTCTCTTGCGGCTTGAGAAACGAATGGCATGCCAGTTGTATCGAATGTTTGCTGATCAAACTGAAACAGCAAGTTGATGTCTCATAAGACTCAAGATTTTGCCACAAGGATGAGAAACTGAACTACACAAACAATTCTGAATCTTTTGGCCCCGGATTTTATTTTCAGTGCAGATTTCTACACACATTTAATTTATTTATCCTTCTATTACATAGGACAATGTTTCCTACCCGTTGCTAGCATCTACTATCAAATTCATTTACTTCATGAATCATGTACCCGTTAACTATCCAATCCCAAAAAAGAACCATAAAGTATGTCATTTATTTGAGAAAGGAAGCAATTGAAGATTCCACCAAGACTTTGCAAAGTGCCCAATTAACAACAACAACAAAAAAAAAAAAGCCTTGTCTTACTAGGTGAGGTTGATTACATGAATCACATGATGTCATTCAACTCGGTTAAAAACCAAATCTTTGGAGATTATAATCAATAAATATGTGCAAAAAAAAAATAAAACAATAAATCCAATGTATGCATAGTGGATCTAGTATTTTGTGCTAGTTGTTTCAAATGAGAAGATAAAACACCTCAGCAAGTACAAAAAAGTAAACCAAATTAAATATCATTTCTCGCTTTATATAATGAATTTTCAGAAGATAAAACCCATTTACACTTGAAAAAGTCGAGCTTAACACAAATATGAAAGACATCCTTGCAATATAACAGGGTCAGTTAAACTCATAATCCACCGAAAGACAGTTTAAAATAAGGGGGATAAAATGGGCTTTGAAGTTATTTAGAGTAAATAGAGTTCAACGCAAAGATGCTTCTTAATACTTACATCTTTAGGAGGAAACACTTCAATTCCGGGGGCCATTCTTGAATTTACTGCTTCAAGCTTCATTGACAAAAACTGTGACAGAAAGGTAAAATTACAAGGCTCAAAATAACAACCACAAAGCATATATGTATTTTCCAAAGAATAACAACAAAGTTCACACCTCTACTTGGCGCTGAAGCGATTGGATATAATTAATTATCTCATCAAGGACTAATGCTTTCCCAATAACCTTGAATCAAAGAAAATCCTCAATATCACCAAAACAAAATATACTTCAATTTATAATTTCTCAGAAAACACAGCATGGCACCAACTATGAGAAACAATTTTTAAACATATTACAAATAGGGTCATCTTACCAGAGATCTATATACACAATCATCCAAAAAAGACTCTTCTTTTTCTTTTCATCTGACAAGTAACACTTATTTTTTCTTCCTTTACGCTTATTTTCTCTTTTTCAGCAATAGTAATACACATGAATTGAGAGCAGAGACAAAACTCAACAGGCAGTAAAAGCATACCTTATTACAACCCGGGACTAAATCCTGAAGAATTTTCATCCTCTCACTAATCTTCTCCCGTCTAGCCTGTCCAACAAGCATTCCATCACAAAACTAAGTCAATAGCTCTAATAGAAAAAGACCCAATAATTCAATATTTCCTTAAATTCCCCCCAAAAGATACAATTAGCACAGCAGTCTCTTACTTTTTAAACCAACATTTTCAGGTAACAGAAATTGCACATAACACGAGATATCTAGAAGCAAAGTAAATTCTCGATACTTCCATAACGCCTACCCAACCACCATCCTTAATTATATAGTTTTCTCTCTTTTTTTGCTTTAAAAATAATTTAATTTAAATGTGCTGTCACTATAAATACTTTTTATACAATCATCCAATCACAAATTGTCGTTATGACAAATTTATTATTTTTATAATAATTTCTTTAAAAGTCAAGCCAAAGATAATTTCTGATTGATTAACAGTATAATTCTCCCATATTTTGTTTCTAAAAAACAATTCAATTAGATTGGAAAGACAGCCTAATGAGTTTTACGCGATCATTTCATCATATGCTGTGATAATTATCATATGGTAAGGAGCAATGATAAACATACAATAAAACATCTTTTTTGTGCTTATATTTCCCCATTATTAATAAATTAATAAATATAATAAAAGATGTGATACCAAGATAGATTCAAAAAATTATATAATTAAATTACTCTTTTGGTCTTTATAAATTCATGAACTTTTACTTTTAAGTCTTTATAATTAAAAGTAATTAAAAAATAATATTGTTTATACTTTTAGTCTTTATAACAATAGACAATAGGAACTAAAAAGAAAAAAAATAACATATATAAAGATTAAAATAGAATGTTTATAAAAAGTAAAATTTATGAAATTATCCGTAACAAAAGTAATTAATTAAATCAAATGAAATTGTGCATATTGGTGTTCAAGTACCATTGTCCTATGGTAAGTTTATTGACTTTTCGTAACAAGAGTCTAGTACTTTCTATCCACAATTTTACAACATCTATCGATCAATCAAAATTAAAGTTAGTATAATTTTTAAGTTATAAAACCATCAAACTTATTTGACGATTGATTTATGATCGGATAAGAATATAAAATTGGTTTTACCTATGCTATTTACTCATCATATTTTTCTTAAAAGCCACGCCAAAAATCGAAGCTGATACAAGTTATGACGAGGGTCAAAAGAGTAGTTTACTGTGGCAATTAAACTCCTAGAAAAATTAAAAGATTGGGAAAAAAAAAAGAAGAAATTAAAGAAGATGATTAGAAGGAAATGACAGACTCTTTCTGCAAGACTATGGCTATCGGTAGCTTGACCCCTTCTAGCTCGGACATGGATGTAGTCTTGCTTAGGAGGCTCCGAAGCTGGCTCCGCAGGCTTTCCTGAACTGCTTTGAGTTTCACTCTTCTTAACGCGCTTCCCATCGCCACCACCCTGACCCTCCTTCTGCAAGCAAAACAAAACCCTCAATTCCACGGCAACTAAAAATTAAGCAGTGAAGCAGATCCATCCGTACCACGGCGTTGGTGGCGGAGACGTGGTGGGCCTGGCGCCTCTTCTTGGCGAAGTTGGGGCTCCGGAGGCCCAAGGCGTCTGGGGCGGCGGGAGGCGGGAAGTGCCAGATCTCCGATAGGTGATAGGATGGGGTGTTGGCGGCGGCGTTGATGGGATCCATTGGGCGTCAATGGGGAAGGAAGAAGAGTGGCATTGAAGTTTGAAGGTTGAGAGAGAGCGCAGTGCGTGATCTCCTTCGACAGTGGAGAGTGTCTACAGGAAGACCATTACTCTCACTCCCACCTCGGGACTCCAAACCCAACTCACTTCTCTTTTTCTTTTCTTCTCTTTTATATACTTCATTCTTCCAATCTAATCCATTCACTTTTTTTTTTTTCAAAATCAAAAACAATTTTTCCATTTTTCCACTTTTTTTTTAATTATGACAAATGATATTTATTATTAGTGTAACTAAAAACATCATCACAAATCATATAATATTAACATTTCTATTATCTTCATGATTATAAGTATATTATTGTCATGATTACCACTTATCATTTTATGATTTGAATTAAGAAAAAAAAATTGATTTATGTAATGAATTTAAATTTAAAGTTTTGTATTAAATTTAAAAACACACCTTTGAAACTAAAAGGTATAATAACTGAAAATTACTTTTAATTACTATATATTTTTCCTCGAGATTTTACAATTTTCAAACTTAATACAAACAATCAAACCGAACAAGAACTTAGATAAGTTGATAGTTGATATGGTGTATGTATTCCACAGCGATTATTATTATTATTACAACTAAACCCGCACATTATCTTGTGGGGTTTCAAAACTTTAGTCGATCATTATTATAATTAACATATGATTTATGAAAAAGGTTTTGAAATAAAGTACCCGATCTTTGTTTTTATTTGAGGACGTGCACGAGGTATGAGTTTGTAGCAGCATGCTTAAGTATTGTAACAACGACGCTTAGGATTTTATTAAGCATGATAATGACAATAGATGAATAGGTATTATTTTGATTTATTTATTATTTGGATGCGTATTTGAGGCCCACCTTTTAACTAGTCCAGTATGGACCTTGTTTGATATTGACACTAAACTTGTCCACTTACGCTGATCCATTTTGTTTTCTGGGGTTAGGGGTCATCGAATTAATATTTTGAAGTGTGTTGTACCCTGTGTGTCCCCCCTTTTGTATAATAATTGATGGTCCCATCTCATAATTGACAATAGTTATGAGAGGGAAAGAATGGTAAATGAAAACAAAAAGTGACACTCCTTATAATACCTTATTTTAAGGGATAAATGAGTATATTTAGAAAGCAAGGCGTGAAAAAGTAAATGATCAAATCACAGTTTGGTCACTAAAACAGATAAGTAGGTCATATTATTATACTATGATTTTCAACTTAATTAAAATTATAAACTGAACATATGGTCATTCTAAATAATTGTTTTTCTCCTTGAAATCCCTTTATAATTTTATTGCCAATTGTAGAGTAGAAAACAGTGACGTTACATTACATAAGCGCGTTTGATTTACGACTTTAAATGGAGATAATATGCGGTGACCCAATTAGACACGAGCACGTGATGAAGAGCATCTAATAAGATTAATTAATATAAATATTACTCAATAATTAATATTGCTCTGCTCCAAAGTCTTTAACATTATTATGTTGGATTGATTGCACTTAAACTTGGTAGAGGAAATGAAACCACGAATGATTTTTTTTTTGGTTGGGAGAGAACAAAAAGTTGTGTCACAGGTTCAGATACTTATGAAGTTATGATGATTCATGCACTTGAGTTTTAAGATGAGGCCTTGGCCAACGACACTATAATATCAAAGGGAGTAATAGTCATTTATGATTGAGCAGAAGCAGACACAGTAACAAAAATAAATTTACCTAAATTTAAAAGATTAAAAATATATTTAAGTCTTAATTTTTATTTATATAAAAATTTCTTAAAATAAATATTTTTTAAGCTTAAAAAAATGAGCCCATTATGTAATCAATTTTAAAATAGCTTTTTAAAGAAAATTTGAAACCTAAACATAAAAACATTACAAAATGTAACATATTTCTAAAATAATGATTGGGCCATTAGCGTGAAAGATGGATTATATCTCTTTGCATTGGTAGTTAAATTGACATACGCAAAAATGCATAAACACACTTTGGCTGGATTTCAATCGTCATGTCTCTTTGTAGTTTTTGAATATTTATAGAATATATTCTTTTGTGGATGCAATTATGCAAGGGCAATTAGACAAAATGATTTTACTTTTCAGGAATTTGAAGTTAAAAATATTAATTTTTTTATATTTAATTTATTAACTAAAAAAAATAACACTATGAATAACATAATTTTTAGGAATTCACTTATTTCCAAAGCAAGTCTTAATAATCTTATTTTATTTAATAATTTATATTTTATATAAAATTTTAATATTTAAATTATTAAATTAAAAAAATTTAATACATAAATAAAGTCTATAAGTTTTAAAAATTATTTGATTTAATTTCTGTTTTCATTCTTTTTGATTCGTTGGGAGGCAGAGAACTGAGAAGCTTGAGTGCATGTCGACTCAGCCTTCTATATACTAACAAATCTTTTTGAAAGTATTCCTATTACTTGATTCCGAGAATGACTTCTAACCAACTACACACACCACTGCATCAACTAATGTTTCACGTCTCAAATTCGCATAATTCATATTTTTTTTAGGTACAACAACTGTATAATTTTTCATGCGCAATTTTAAGTTTTAACTTGTTTAAAACTGCATCAATTTGCATGAAAAAAAAATGCTTTATTGGTGAAAAAATAAATTGAAAAGAAAATGATTCACTGCACCAGAGAGAAGAATCCTTTGTATATTGACTTATAAAGGAGAAAAAAAGTCTAAATTCAATTTTGATCTTTTAGTATTATATTCGTGATCTTTAAGTTTTATATACAATATTAATATGACCCAATTTGCTGAATTAAATTTTGGGAATCTACAATTATAAAACTGACACTTAAGAAAGGAAAAGAAAATGGCTTTGTCAAATGAAAGATTACCTAGCTCCATACCAACAATGAAAAAGACAAGGCATACGTCTAAGTCAACATCTGGATCATCTTCAATGCTCAACTTAAAAACACGTTTCTAATCTATCTTCCTTTCAAACCCTTCCATCTGATCCAATTCTAGAGTGCAGTTTTGGATGCTACCATCCTTTCTATCCCTTTCATTTTCCTTATAATGTTTGTGTCATTTAGTTTACATTATTGGGGCTGACCTAATTTGGTGCTTCTAGTTAAATGCCAAAGTACCGTTCATCAAAGTGACATTGATTCATCCACGAGCCTCGCCAAACAGCTTTGCCAAATCTGATATCAAATCCAGTTAGGCATAGATAATGGCCATAAAGTTTCCCTTGCTTCCTGCTTTAGATAACAGAACATAAATTATACTCGTGCACTTAACCAGTTTATGCACATGTGGGTGATCGTGATTGCAATTAGTTGCATTTTAAGCACGTTTTCACCATAGTTCTGTTTGTCTTTTCAGAACAACATGTGCATAATGCATAAGCTGAACGGGATGATTCGCATTTTACAGTGGGGAATTGTCACCATGAAGTCCCCCATGTGTTAATTTTCATCAAATGGTAATGATCCTGTGGTCACTACACTGACTACATATGATAAGTGTTAGGTTCTTATATATTTTGTGTCATTTTTCTTCATGGGGTTATTCTGATTTTTGAACTTGGTGCTTCCCTTGTCACTTATTCCAATAAAAGATTCTAACAGTCCAATAGTTGAAACGTGACACAGATTTGAACTGCCTGGAACAATTTATAGCTATGCACCATCTATATTAAGCATTGAAGAGGAAGTTTCTCCCACACCAAAACCAACATGTTTATTTATTTATTTAGTTAAAGTACATTAGCAAATTATACACGAGTATATTTAAAAAAATATTTTATCCAATGGAACATGGATAAAGAGCTTACTATCTGTCTTACGAGGTATAATTGATATCCCTAATACACAACATATATAAATAAATTGTAAAAACCAATTGTTTTTTTTTTTTTTGTGACAATGTTATTGATACAAATAATTCATTTGACTATTTTGATTACTATATTATTTTTTATTATGTCTTCTCTTCCAATTACTTTTTTTTTTTTCTTTCATAAGATTCAAATCAAAAACCTTGTTTAAGGAGAACAAGTCTATCAAAATTATAATTTATTAGTAACCAGCTATAGTTGTGGTGAATAACATGGAACAACATATAGCAAAACACCAAAATATATGCTAAAGCGTAGCTCTAATCTAATTTATCAACCATTTCATTAGCAAGTTATATAATGTATTTTGAGATGATTCTTTATTATAACTTATTGATAGACTCCAATTAAAATTTATATGTTATTTCCTCCATCTCATAATGATTTCAACTTCAGATTAATTATGAGGACAATAATAATTGTATTATTGATACAATTTTACTAAATAGTTCAACTTCTCAATAAATGCATTACTTTATGGTAGTTAAATAATTTATGAAGGGATAAATTAGAAGAAAAAAATTTATTAGAGAACATAATTCATTTCAAGAAATTTTACAAAGTTAATTTGATTTTATTAAATAGGAGTTAAATATGTATTTAATTTTTATAAAATGAGATAGTTTTGGTTTTTGTCTCATTAAAAGATGTTTTTGAAAATTAAGTTTTTTATTCCTAAAAATAATGAATTTAGATATTGATCCCTATAAATTATTTTATTTGATTTTCTTTCATTTAAAATTTAAAATTATTATTTTCGATCTCTAATAATTATTTTAATATATATATATATATTCATTTGAGGAATTTAGAATATTTTAGAGATATCACATGTTGATATAAAATTACAAATATTATCAAGTTTTAATTAGAATGATCACTTGACATTCCACCAGAAATTAATTATTAACAAAACTAAAAAATATTATATACCAATAATATATGATATAAAAAAAAGAGTTTGATATGATAATGAAGACAAAATATAACTTTATATTTTTTAGGAGAGAAAATAAAAAATGAACAATTATAATGACTAGAAAAACTTATTATAAAAGGGATGGACTAAAATTATTTAATAAAAAATAATAGAAAATAATCCAAATACAAAACATGTTTTCTAAATTGCAATGAATCTTAAACAGCTGCCATTAGAGATGTTATGCGTCTATCATTACCATGCCTGCTCAAAAAATATGCCATGCTGTAAAAAATAAAAATAAAAAATAAATA